GTCAACCCACTTCATCGTACCTGTATGAAATATTCAAGGTCAACCCACTTCATCGTACCTGTATGAAATATTCAAGGTCAACCCACTTCATCGTACCTGTATGAAATATTCAAGGTCAACCCACTTCATCGTACCTGTATGAAATATTCACGGTCAACCCACTTCATCGTACCTGTATGAAATATTCAAGGTCAACCCACTTCATCGTACCTGTATGAAATATTCAAGGTCAACCCACTTCAGAAGACATTTACAGTAGCTGTTTAAAGTACTCATGTTCAGCTTATGTACAGACTCAATTAAACCGATTTTCATTTAATTTTGCTGTGATTAAGGCTTCCAAGGAATCACTCTTTTTCAAGATTTCTATACCTCACAACAGGAGGTGTCAAGTGCTGTGTTGAAAATTGAGTAACGCTCAACCCGATGCTAGCGGCATGAGGGATGTTGCACTTTTTATTATCCTGATGTACAGACTCAATCAAACCGAGTCTGCAATTTTCATTTAATTTTGTTGTGATTAATGCTTCCGAGGGATCACTGTTTTTCAAGATTTTTATACTTCACAACAGGAGGTGTCAAGTGCTGTGTGGCAGCTGTAAAAAGTTGTCCCTTACTTCACGTCAGTGTTGTTATATTTTTCTGGTCCTTCATACAACACTTTTAGTGTTGAAAATTGAGTAACGCTCAACCCGGTGCTAGGGGTCGTGAGGGATGTTGCACTTTTTCATTATCCCTCATCTACAGACTCAATCAGACCGAGTCTGCAATTTTCATTAATTTTGGTGTGATTTATGCTTTCGAGGGATCACTCCTTTTCAAAATTTTTACTCCACGATAATAGCTGTCTGAAATTTTCAAGGTCAACCCAGTGCAGAAATATCTTCAAGGTCAACCCACTCCAGAAGATATTTATAGTAGCTGTCTGAAATATTCAAGGTCAACTTTGTCCAATAAACATATTTAGACTTTGTTTGAAATCCTGAAGGTCAACTCACTACAGAAGACATTTTACAGTAGATCTAGCTGTTTGAAACCTTTAAGGTCAAGCCCCTATAGGAAAACTTTACATTACCTGTCAACTCACTTATGGGTTCGTGCCTTACCGGGTTCAATACCATATCTGCCCGTACTGGTTAGTTCCAGGCAAAGGAGTTAAGATTATTTTATAGAGGCTACAAACATTCTTCACAACAAAGCTTGGATAAAGGATGTTTAATCTGATAATTGCTTTGGATTATAGCGCTGCTTAGTGCATCTTCTATTATAGAAATTTCACCTTTCAAGAAAACAGTTAGATAATTTCCTTAATAAACATGAAGGTTTAAAGCACCATAATATGGATCATCAGTTTTTTTAAAAGTCTAATCTAAAAGACTGTAACTAGTTATTAAAGTTAAAGAAAGAAGATTGGATCGGATTTGCTTTATAAATGGGTTATCAGTGGCCGCTACACCTGCAAACTTAATTTTCAATCTTTATTTATGAAGTGCATTTGAACATGTAGATGCAAAAAACTTATCTGATCTTTTTAATGTGTTAATGTTGAAATACTTAACATTAATTTAATGCTTTGTATATGATTTGAGGTTTAAAAGGTCAAAGGAAAAAGTCAAAATGTCAAATAAGATTTTTATATTATAATATTTATGTCAATTCTGTTTCTCTCCATAATAACTCATTCAGATTCTGATAATAAACAGTTTACCATTTTAAAAGAAAGCATGGAAAGGATAATGCATATTCAGTGTATAGTAAAGCTATCAATATAAACTTTGAATCTTTTTTAGCAATGGAATCTAAGTTTAGCCACCTGCCAGACATTAAAACTATCCAGCCAGATCGGCTGATAAAGTATCGGGTCAGCGAGGACAAGTTTTCAGCAGAAGTTTTACTGCCAGGGTTGTCCTACACAGATTTCGATCATAAAATTGGAGGTAAAATAATTTTAGCAACCATTTATTTATCATAATGTATACACAACTCGTCGCCTTAGTCATATAGTGAGCTAAACACCATTTTGAATTTTTTGAATGTGAAAATCGTTTTCTCTCTATAACTAGTAAATCATTTGACCCACAGCATTCAATCTTTAATGGAATTATCACCCTAAGTAAAAGATCCCTATTGTTTCTGGGCGCAATTTCTGAAAACTCTTTGTACCACTTAACAGTTTTAATATACCTTTTATGATATTACTTCGAATATTTGTTTTTGTCTCATTATCCCCATGTCCTGACAGGAAGATCTGACTTTTTCTTTGTCTTTATAGCTATGGTACAGTTATTTGTATCTCCGTTCTGTTCTATTTTTCTCTTTTAGTTGATACTTTAAAACTTTGAATAATTGTTGGCTACAATACCATCTGCCAAAGTTCTAGACACGAGACATAACTCCGATATAAATTTTGCCATTTTTTACATAGATTTCGGTTTATTATTTTTGTTGTTCCAATCCATTTATGTAATACTATACAACTGATTTTACCTTTTTTTCCACTTATAAGTATAGTAATTGTTTTTATTCTTTTACAATTACAAGTACATCGGACACGAATATTTACTCACAGCTCTTCCTTCAGTTTTTGTAGTAATGGAACTTTATACGAGTATACATATATATTTCACATCAAGTTCTACGTAGAATCAAGCATTTATATCTTGGCAGCTATTCTTTGTGTTAAAAAGTATGTATAAAAACACATTAATACCAATTTCAATTTTCCACAGGTAAGGTTAATCTTCAATCTGTGGCGAAGATTTGTGAATGCGTCCGCTTTGTAACTTTCACTGAGGGCTTCACCAATTATGCCCGGAGACATCGTCACTCAAGCGATATACTCTTTGTTGTGAGTCAGAAGTTTAGTTTCACCTATGCAGCTCACAACTTATGTAGTAGCAGTCATTTCGGATTTAATAAGCCTCAACTATTTTTGTGCGATCTTTCTCACGCTGGAAAGACCTCATACACAACAAACATGGACTGGTATGATTCATGTGATAATACTAAGATTGGAAGTTTCATTACCAAGATTATCACAGCAGACGTGAATACGAGAAGACCTGTGCCACTTCCAGACTATTTCTTCAAAGATATCGAGTCTCATTTCACCCACATCAAGCCTCAAACAATGGATAAGGTTGATATACCCATAATTCCTAGCAACGCGTACAGTTTTAATGTCAGAGTGCTATATAGTGACTGTGATGATAATTATCATGTTAATCAAGCGACCTACTTAAAATGGTGCTCTGATGCGGTCTCAGAAGGTGCCGGAAATGGATATTTTTCATTCTTTAACAAACATATCGAACTGTATCCGCTGATGGAGATGACGATGTATTACTGTGGAGAAGGGCTGGTGAAGGATGAATTAGTGGTTCATGTGTGGGAATGTAAAGAAGACGCAAGTTGTCTGGAATTTGCCATTAAAAAACAATCACATGTTATTTTTCATATGGGAATGACATTTTACAATTCCGAATCTGATAAAATAGAGCAGATAACTAAAATGTGATAACGAAGGCCTTTCACTTTATGGCACTTCATACACATGTATCATATTTAACAAACATTTCTTTATGTTAGGAAGTTATATTACATGTATATTGATTCAGCTAGATGTTTTATATTGGTCAAGATACACTTAATTGTCAAAAGAGATGTACATTATAGTTTATAATCAGGCAAATCACAGTTGATCATATCTTTGCGTAAGGAAAGAATGTTACATGTGTATTGATTAAATTAGATTTTATATATTTTGGTCAAAATACACTTCTCTGTCAAAGGTTTGTAGTTTATAGTGAAGAAAATCGCGGTTGATCATAACATAATCTTTAATACTGTTGTTCGTCAAGGTGAAGACTGTTCGCCAATTTTGTTCCAAACTGCTCAAAAAGCGCCGCTTTATTTATTTATTTTGTATTTATTTTTCATATATGAGTATCAATGTAGAAAATTTGTTCTCATAGGTCTGTGATCCAAATACGTTTTGTAAAAATTGCCAAAAGCATGCAAAACCCATTCATTTTCTTGTTCAGTCTTGATTCACATGTTTGTCTTTTTCTTTCCCTTTTCTGACATGTTGTAAGGATGGTAGAATGATTTAATTTTCCTCTCAAGTAATCAGTATGCAGAAATAGTGAAATTTATTTAGTCAAGTGGTATACTTTATATATGACAGAATATTGTAAGGTGATGTATCATTTAAGTACATAATCAAGATAAAAATTGTTGTTCAAACTGTGGACTCAATAAATAACATATAAAAACGTCAGATTATTTTTGGAACTATTATTTTTTTGCAAAACATTGGTCCGGCTAAAACAATATTACTGTTTGTTGATGATCAGGTCATTTCCAGAAATCAGTAGAAAATATCTCTATTAAATGATAACTGTTGATGAACATGTACTTATAAAGTTGTTTAAGAGTACTTCGAGGTGTCAGGACCCACTCGTACCAATTAAATTCTGCAGGCCCTGTTCATGAACAGTGGTAATTGCAAGTACCGTCCACACCCCCTAGCACCGGCTTAACAGAATTCAAAGCAGAATTCAACACTTAACATGAACTGGTAAATTCTTTATTTTGAAACATCCGCAGATGTGTTCATATGGCGCTCATCATGGAACCTTCAATGTGACACGATAGTGCCATTCCATGATAAGCGGTATAATGTCCCGAAGTAAAAAAATGTGTACCGTAAACCAGAAAACAATAATGGGCGAAACTAAATAAAATGGAATTTTGAAAGGGGGTTATGAAGCCTGTATATTACAGATTAGCTGTCAAGAAAAATTAGGCAACATATCCCAAGGATGTTTGAGGAATATTGGAAAAAAGACGACTAAGAAAAAGGACAAATTGGAAAGAAATAAAAATGCCAAAAAACCAAAAACATGCACTCACAACAATAATATCTTTCAAGCTTTTATAAATGATAGTAGGTGCACTTCATAAAAACGACAAAGATAAAGAAAGAAAACGCTTGAAAATAAATTTTCTTCTGATTTATTTGTTTTTAAAATAAAAAAAAACATCTATAACTTATTTAATTACTACTCATTTATTTTCCGTTAAAATCTTAATATCTACTCAAACTGAATATTTTTAAAGGATATTTCGATCATTTGTCCGTGTATTTATTTGTAAAGTCATTTGTTTCGAAGTAAATCAAAGTTCTTTTGCAACATAATCCCAGCTGACAACCACCCCTCCGTAAGGACCTATTTCAAGGCTACCAAGCTCCGCCTCAGCTTCCAACTCGTAGGAGGAGCTATGTGATAACACCACCTCTCCTGTTTCTGGTATTGTGTCATGTGATCCAATAAAGTCACGTTTTTCAGTGTTTGGTCCGAAATTCACGGCAACTAAATACCTGAAAGCCAATTTAGACCAAAATGAAACATCAAATAAAAGATTTTATCGAAACAAATTAACTCAAAATTTAAAAAAAAAACAGTTATAGCTATTAAATATAATATAGATTTTCATTTTTGTTGGGCGTTGTATTTAACGCTGTAATAATAATACTAGTTGCAAAGGGAAGTTTATTATACCCAGTTTCTCCATCGAATTCTCGGACGAATGACACAACATTGTTGTCTCTAATTGCTGTAAAGTAGTCCCCAACTTTAAATGATTGTTCTTTTCTCAAATCTACAAGGGCCTTTATCAGTTCTGAATAAGCATTCTGAAAACAAGAAAATAACACACAAAAAACTTAATAAATTAGGTTCTATAACATCAGAAATATACACATTTAAAAGGTATAAATATATATCTAATAAAATATTTTTATAAAATCTACCAACAGTAAAATTATATTGGTTCCATTATTATGTGGTTGATTTCCGAAAAAGTTGTAACAAAGAATGTCTCTGTTATTTAACACACATGAATAATGTACATAAACAGAATAAAATGTTCCAGAACAAAATATTATTTTAGCAATGATTTTGTGCTTTATGGCAATAAATTACCATATTTATTTCATACAAGCATTTTGGCCGTACTCTGTTTTTTTTAATCCAAACAATATTTTTTGTATTAGAAATATAGCTATATACACTTAAAAAAAGTTTTTTAAAAAATCCCTTTTTATTTAATTGCTAGATAAAGTTTGTCTTACTAAATCTCAGAGAGTATTGAAAACAAGCTTTTTCAACAACTGACCTCAATATTCCCCGTAGAAACATCACTGATAGTTGTCCACGGATTACAAGTATCATTACAGAATCCGCCATTAGTTGTATTACTCCATCGCATGATCCGGGTGTTTGGTTGATCACGTGTCCAGAGGTCGCCACCTGCACCGGTGTTTACCATGTTGATTTCATCCCCGTAGAAAACGAGAGGAGTTCCGGGCATCAAGAAAGTTAATATGGTGAAAGCGTTTATGAACGTTGCGTTAAATCTGCCAGCAAACCGCTCTGAACTATCATCTCCTGTCTGAAATCCAGTTGCAAACAATTGAACAGATGAAGGAGACAAAAACATAATAAAAACGTATCACCCCTCTGACACCGACCATTAAAAACTACTTGGATAAAAATCGTACAGATGAACCTGTATCTATCTACATACTGTTTATGATTTATTCTACAAGGTTTTTACGAACAAGCCAAGCCAAATTTCGGTAGTATTTTTGTCTTGCTGAGACTTACAGAAAACGACACTGTGAGTCATTACCTTACAAACAAACAAACTTAAAAATGTTTTACCATCCAATTGGCCCATTTTCCACTAGGAACTTGGTTCATCCAGCCATCAACATACTGAACAACACACTTCCCATCGCATGGATTTTTCTTGTCAAGGAATCTGTCATTGAGCGGCATCTGGATACCACTTCTGTCACAGTCACTATACAGCTCTGTTACTTCCAGTCCCCCATCTATACTTGACATTAGTAACCTAGAGAATAAAAGAACACTTTATGTAGAAACTGTCAAAGAAAACTAAGTAAAAATCCACCAAAAACACAAGCAGACTTATGGAAGGCATTAACTGTCTGAACGTTGTGTTATTCAAACATTAAAGCAGCATGCCTCCAAATTCTTGCTAATTTTTATAAAATTAAACAAAAAACGGTATTTAACAGTAAAATATTATGAAGGGAACAAAGAAAGTAATTAACACATTGCAAACGACACTAACAATCCAGGTAAATTGCAGAAAGGAGTCAAAATATGCAAAAATAGCTTAAACTGTGTTAGTCCCGCATTAGAAATACGGCCATATTTCAGATGTAAATCGCACTTGACATGTTTACAAATTATAACTTGAATTTTTTCACTTTTCTTAAAATCTTAGAACATGTTTCTTCTTGTTTGATTTTTCTGGAGAAAAGGGCATACAGCTTTAAACTCGAGGTGTAAGCATAAAGCAAAGGCCAAATAGTTCATAGAGAAGTAATTTATATTCTTTTAATTCTTTTGTCATTGCGCATTGGTTTACCTTATGTCTTTTCACACAATAAGAATTGGTAGTATAGGGTCCAACTAGTTTACAAGAAGTGATTTTTTGCCTGAGAGTAAACCAATATTTGTCATATTAATACATCTGCTATATTTGTTAAAGCTTCTTATCACCACACTTTAATTGTAACTAACACAATAAATGATCGTCTCGCTGTTGAAACTTACTTTTCAGTATTCGTGAAGTTGTGTTCACGTACAAATTTTCTCCAGCGTTCCAGAACATTGTACACTTCCGGTTGATTGGTCGTGTATATGTGTTCCAAATCATCATACTGAAAAATAGATATTTTAAAGTTCTACATATTTTTTTTTCAATAAAATAAATAAAAATAAAAATGATGGATTGAAAAAGTAACCAAAAAAAATTAAAGACCGGTCTTTCTGTTAATGAACTCTTTAGTTCTATCAAAAAGCACTGTCATCATAAATTATTTCAGTCACTAAGGCGCTTACAGTGCTTCCGGTTCCAGGTTCGTCCCTTAGATCGTAGTCTTCATACAAATATCCAGCATCTCTAACATTGAACCCGTCAACTCCGCGGTTCAGCCAAAAATCAAGGATTCCCTGAAACATACATCAAAACTTTCTCATCCATGCTTATTTAGTAGGGCTTTATAATCACAACTCAATTTTCCAGTTTTATAAATCAAGGAGACAGTCCGAACTGACGATTTTGTTGCTTTCATTGCCAAATGGACTGGTGTAAAAATTATATGTAAGGGATATCCCAAGGCCAGGCCCACGAGTATATTAATAATATTATATAAGGTCCCGCAGATATGGAATACTTTTCGGACTTACATGTATAAAGTGTTGGCAAAGATTCACATAAAAATACTACGAAAAGAAAACGACTTCTTTTTATTCTGTGAGTTAATTAAGGGCTAGTTTTGCATTTTGTGTTCACGAGAAGTAAAGAATATTGAACCTTTGTCAGGTGATAATGACGTCATACCTGCAATTCCTCTAAGACAACAGCACTCCTCAAATTTAGGTCAGGCATTTCCGGTGTAAACTGGTGCAGGTAAGCTTTATTTCTCATTGAGTCATTCTTCCATGCTGGACCACCGTAAACACTTTTCTGCGAAATATAAAGTACAAGAAAAGCATTGATGCAAAGCATCAAAGGGCGTCCAAGCAAGAATTGCAGCAAGTGAAGATGAACTAGTAGACATATGATGACAAGGAATGTCAGACATAATCCCCTTCTGACAAAATCCCCTTCACCTACCCGGACAAAATCCCCTTCATGGGTGGACATAATCCCCTTCATTTTTTTGCAAGGCTGGACAAAATCCCCTTCACTACCCGGACAAAATCCCCTTGTTTCATAGGTTTCTAATGTATTATTATGCTCCATAAAAATTGATGAATAATGTATTATTATACTCCCTAAAAATTGATAAATAATGAACTTTTGTTTTTTTATTTATAATTATGTATCAATAGTTACCTTTATTTAGTTTAGAAGTTTTCATTAAAATTATGGTAAATTATTAACTGCATAACACATATTTGATTAGACAATTTCTTTAATAGTTTTAAATTGATTAGTATGAAAAACATTTTTATTAGCCAATAATTGTTTCATTGATTGTATAAGTTGATAATTCTAATTGATAGATACTATTCATTGTTACAATTTTTATTGATGAAAGAGTGATAATTTAATCAAACCAAGATCACTGCACTACTTGATTGATTGTTATGAATGCTTTAACAAAGCAATTTTAATGTGATTTAAATGTTGCTAATTGAATGTGCTTTTCTGCTGAAATATTTTCTACTCATTTATACATTAAGATATTTACTACACAGCATAATGCAGTATGTGGCTCTCATACCCACTTAAAAAACGAAAATTCCTCTGAGGGGGATTTTGTCCTAGGTAGCAATTTTATGAAGGGGATTTTGTCCACTCCAAAATTTCACACATGAAGGGGATTATGTCCACCCATGAAGGGGATTATGTCCGGATATACAAAAATACATGAAGGGGATTTTGTCCGAAGGGGATTATGTCCGTACACCGATGACAAGATATTCTTATAAACTACCAGAAATGTATATCACTTAAGAATGAGCGGACGAAAGACATTGTTCATTATGAACTTTGATTGAGAATATTACTTGTTATTTCTTTATGATCGTGGTTATTAATAGCAACGGATATACATGTATACAATAATTTATAATCCATATGTGTAACGCATGATCAACACGTACCACACCTTTGTAATTGTCCCTTATCATGTTATCGCTGTTAGCGAAGACCCCCTATTAAGGTATCTATTCACACTCAGTAAAAATATGACACTGGTTATATTACTATGTTGATCATGTTGAGCATAATTGTTTATTATACAATAATTGTAATATCTATTAATTTTAATAAAAAAAAATACAAATTTTATGACTATTGTTTTCTTTTCTTTTCTGTGTTTTATGTGCTATTTTAATACTGAGTTTTTATGTTTACGAGCGTACTACTCTTTTATTTAAATTGTAAAAAAATAATTAAGAATTCAATTGTCATATTGACCGACGATTATAAGTCAAAACTTAACTGGAAAAAGTCAGTAAATTATGGTTTATCTTTCAATATATAAAAGTGTTTATTCTCAAACCATGTACATGTACATTTGTATTTTTCTTTATCATTTTTTAAATTATTAATCAATTGAATAATTCACAAAATCTATTTAGTAACTTTCTATAATTCCTCGGCATCTTTACTAAACACGGATAACAAATTAAATAAAATGTTTCAGAGCTGATGGTGTCATATTAATACCATAAAAAGGTACCCTTTTCTCAATTATTGTACATATTTATTGTTTTTATCTCATAAAGATAAAAATGAAACATGCTATTGTTGTTGTGTGGTGGTTGTTTTTAATTATAACGATATCAAACATCTACTCCAAAACCGGGAGAGACCGGACAATAAACGTGTGTGGTACTTTTCGCTGGTCACTAGTAAAATCCCGGTCAAAATAGACGGGAGAGACCGGGAATTACCGATAGAGTGATAAATAGATATATCTATAAATAGATTTTCGGAATATTTAGGTCATCAACTGATCATTCTAGGATACATGTACAACAATAACATACCATGATAACCCACTGTGTACTACAAAATGATAAATAAAAAAACCCGAAGAGAGCGATTTATTGATGGAAAAGTTTATTTCATTTGAAAATGTTTGCATACGAAATTCTCAAGTTCGCTATTCATTGTAACATATCGCGACAATTCATTCTTAATTAATAATCAAGCACCCTCATACTGATCGGAATGATCGGCTTTTATTATGATCGACTAAAAGGCTCGAGAAGTAGCTGTCGCCCTTTCACAAAATCTGATTTCATTCCATAAGTGCGCCGCGCTTCGGCGCGGACGCCAATAAACATATGAGCCGCGTCACGACAAAACCAACATAATGTGTTTGCGACCAGCATGGATCCAGACCAGCCTGCGCATCCGCGCAGTCTGATCAGGATTCAGGTTGTTCGCTTACAAACCCTATAACAATTAAAGAAACTGATAGCGATCAGCATGGATCCTGATCAGACTGCGCGGATGCGCAGGCTGGTCTGGATCCATGCTGGTCGCAAACCCATTATGTTAGTTTTGTCGTGACGCGGCTAAAATGTAGATTAAAAGATATTTGCATACATTAATTTTGCTATTTAACAAATACCAACTCATCTGCGCATGTTTCAATATATCTCACTTTCTTACTGAAGTAACGGAAGTGTATTTAGTGCATACCGAATACCACAAACCGAGTTACATAAATACAATAATTGCATAACCTTTACATAATTATGTTTAACTTTACTTTAATCTTTCCGTACGTCATTTGAGAATTAAGGAATAGGGATTTTAAGGAGGCAAACTTGTTATTTAAAGACACAACCGTCAATGAATTAGGATTCTTTCTAGATTTGTTTTGCCCGTGCATACATGTGTACATTACAGTTCGTAAAACATGTCTTTTCATGCCAATACAAATCCAAAACAAACCCAGTTATTTGGTGGCGTGTCGGTTTCGGCCCAGTTGTAGAAATTCTTCTTGTCGTTAGGTGAGCTCATTCTGCTTTCCAGAAACCATGGGTGGTCGTCACTAGTTTGGTTTGGTATAAAGTCCAGAATTACATACATTCCTGGAAAGTTGACAATATATATTTTAAAGCAGCACGCCTCCAGATTCATGCTAATTTTCATGAAAATTTTGAAAATGTATTTGAATGTATAATATTGTGAAATAACCAAAAGGAAGCAATTTACACATTATCAATGACACTTACAACCCACGTTATTTACCAAAAAGTGGTCAAAATATGCATAAATAGCCCTTACTGCGTTAGTAACGCAGTAGAAATATACTTGTAAATCCTGAAAAATCAGTCATTAATCGCACATAACATGTAAAATACTACTTAAATCTTGAATCATTTTACTTTTCCCTAAAATCTTAGTACATATTTCTCAAGTTTGATTTTATTGAAATATTTTGACTCATCTGGAGGCATGCAGCTTTAAACATGATGATGTTTGTTTGTTTGATTGGGTGGGTTTTACGTCACACCGACACAGTATAGGTCATACGGCGACGTTCCAGTTTTACTGGTGGGGGAAGACCTCAGGTGCCGTTTCCGTGCATTATTTCAGGCACGAACTAACACCTGAGTTGAACCACCGACGTTCCGTAAGCTATAGCTGGATAGCTTCCTTACATGAAAGAATCCAAAGTCCCTGTCGGGGACTCGAACCCACAGCGGTGAGGGACAAGAAGCATGATGACATTCGCGTGTAAATGAAAGGCTAGACATCTATCGGTCTTGCAATTCATCGACAATAATAAAAAGTCTACTGACAACTCAAAAGTAAGGAAACTATTTCTAGGCTTTTCCTAACAAGAACCACGTTATATCCATTTTCATTTATGTGCACTTTTATAACGAGGGGGGCTACTGTTAAATAGACAGCGAATCGCACAATGCTTCGAAATTTGACAAAACCAAATAATAAATAAAATACATGTAATACAAATGTACTTTTAAAATTATCATGATTATTTAGAAAAACAACATGATAGACTTCATACCTTTATCGTGGGCTGCTTTGATTAGATTGTCAAAGTCAGTCATTGTCCCGAATTTTACGCCAATATTTGTGTGGTTTGTAATCGCTAGGTCATTTCCGATTAGAAATGGTACAGAATTTGCGGTGCTGTAGATCGGACTTAATGATATTATACCGAATCCGAGATCTCTGATGTAATCCAATTTTGATTCTATGCCTGAAAAATTATTAGAAAATTCTTAATTTTAATTCATTTCCTGTTTAATCTTACACCGCTAGTCATGACAAATTTGTATACAATACAACTCAAAATAAAATAGTTTAAGAATAACTATTTTTACCTACTTTTCACTACAATTTACTTGTAAAGTTTCGATGTTTACTTGTTCAGTTGCTCTTTTGTAAAGATTAACACCCTTGGATCATTACTTTTATCTTTAGAACTATTTTATTTCATAAACTTTGTATATACGATAATTATGTATAGGTATATTTAATTCAGACAAATTGTATTTCCGCTTAGTTCAATAGGGGGTTGGAAATTGAATTTGTAATCCGGGGATGGCTGGTTCGATTCTCGGGTGAGGTGACAATTGATCTCAAATGGTCAGGAGTTTAACCGCCGATTCAGAAATTATGTGCGATTACATAGTAGTCGGTCGCTATAGGGGAAATGGTAAGTACCGCTTCTATAAGTCTTTAGGTGGACCCACCGCCGAGATATGACCAAAAATGAGTTAAAATAGCATTCGGAACTGCCTCGGCTATTATCCGAAGACTAACGGAAAGGGCCGAGTAGTTGCAATTGTTAAAATAGGCGTAAATTAAAACCAGAAGAATAAACAAAAATAAGACCAGCAATCCCTGGCTTATCTAAGCATCAATTACCAGCAAGGTCCCCGACTCCATCATCATCGCTGTCCTTAAAACTCGGTACATAGATTTTATACACGGCTTCCGTCTGCCACCATGACCTTGACCCCGGGTCACGACACTTTGGATAGATCAATACCAGCGCCACCACTGCGATTATCAGAGCCAGCCAACCGATGATTATTATAGAAACGCATATCATTCGCAGACGACTCCAGAAAGGCTGTGTGGAGAAATGTAGAAGATCTTCTTTCCCCATTCCTCGATACGGCTTGTCCGGAATAGGTCTCACTTCCGGTGGAATTTCTACGCCGTCTGCCCCACTGCAAGTAAATTTGAGAAAGTAATAGATAATATATATATTACATATGGTAACTTCAGTGTGGTTTCGTAAAGTTTTCTTATGGCTAGGTTGTTACCCGTCAGATTACAAGTGTTATAGATAGGACTTGGTATTATATCGAATCCGAGATAAGGATAGTTAACGACTTTAGAACATAATCTAACGTAGAGAAAATAGATTTTCATTAAATTCTTAATTCTTACTTGTAAGTAACCTTGGTTTCAGAATCGTATCCGATATTATCAAAAGCCTGTCGTCCATCCACTGGCTTCGACGATACCAGATAAACGCCGGACTTTCCCGACATTTTCTTTTGATTTTATCTTAAAGTACACTGATACCTGAAAATAAATTAACATCAGTTTTGAAAATAATGAAAAACTGAATTTTATCCGTGAGATACGGTTTATATCCTCATTGCATATAACTCCCAGTTAAACATTTTGTTAATGATCATACAACATGCATGTTTACACAAAAATGCTGTTTTATTGTTGTTGTTTTTCAGTATGCATCCAGGAGTCTTGCCGGACGATTTTGTTCAATAATATGCTTTACTAGTCTATATAATAACAATAATAATAATAATAATAATAATAATAATAATAATAATAATAAAATAATAATTATTATTATTATTATTATTATTATTATTATTATTATAAACAAAATAACTAAAACAGAAGTCACTGTTGACTGATTTAAAGGGACAATAAACTATATGTTCCTCATAGTTCTGATATTATTTTCCATGAAAAAAGAGAGCAACGCATTTCAATATGGATTTAAAGGCCCATATTATGCCCCAAAATTTATTCCCGAAAAACTTTTTGTTTTAGTGTCCTGTTATAGTTTCCAAAAGGTTATTCATCGGCCAATCACCTGAATTGTATTTGAATTGTATTTTGCATCAATTGTCGTTTAAGACTTAATTAAGTCAGTTAAAGTGATATTCTCCATTTCGCTACTTTTATGACAAATAATTTCACATCCAGCGCTACTTTCTTCAAGTAATAAGAATCTAACATGCTTTATAACTTTAAAACTCACGTTTGCCCTTTTTGAATATAAGGAAAAATTAATTCCTTTCTGAGGCATAATGTGCCTTCAACAAATGCACTCGATAATTAAGAAAAATAGAACAAGAAAAGAGCAAAAACAAACAAAAACAAACGAACCTGATCTTAAATCACAAGGTGCAGGTATAAAGATTATAAAATATATCCGCAACACCTACTAGTATATGCAACTTAAAGAATGACAAACAGATAAAAGTGGAGGCCAGATTTAACACTTGATAGCATAAACCTTTTCAGTTAACCTAGTTAAAACCACTGTATATCTTATGTAAATATATGTATAGACATCACCCTCATCTTTCAAAAGTTAAACGGCCTAAATAACGCACCTGAAGTTTTAAAGCTGCACGCCTCCAGATGAGCCAAAATATATCAAGAAAATCAATATTGAGAATAATGCACTTAACTTTTAAGAAAGGTAAAAATATTCAAGATCCAAGTTATATTTTACATGTTATGTGCTGTTAATACTGATTTTGTAGTATTTTATCACCATATTTCTACTGCTTTACTAAAGCAGTAAGGGCTGTTTGTGCATATGTTGATCACTTTTTGGTAATTTTCGTGGATTGTAAGTGCCAATTGCAATATGTAAATTACTTTATTTGTTCACCTCACACTATTTTACTTTTAAATACATTTCTAAATTTTTGTATGAACATTAATTTGAATCTGGAGACGTGCTGCTTTAAACTATTCGTACAACGAACTGTACGGTACGATATTATAACAACAAAAATATGCGTGGACAAACATTTATACATGTATATGTTTAAAATGTAACTTGAGATGTCAATGTCTATACTGCCTGGTTTAATACGTGTACTTTACAAAAAAAAACATCATAAACATAATTATACATTAGTTGAAATTAAAAAACAAACACTCTAAAAACATTTGTATGCGTACTACCAGATACTTTTATTATAGCTCTGTGGTACTATCCATTATTTCTACTTTAAGCATGTAATTTTACCTAAGCAAAATGCAAACAGAAAATGTCAAAAAACGAGAAAAAAGAAAGTTTAAAATATACCTGTAAACAATATGGCGGAGTTTAAACTTGTTTGGTGTGCAACACTTGAATACCCTTTTCAAGGCTGAATCAGTTTGAAAGGTAAGTTTTACGACCACATAAAATGCAATCGAAGGTCTTCGGCACGCTCCGTCTTACTTCGGAGTTGAGATGTTACGACTGCATAAATTGTGGTAGATAAATTTATAGATTTATAGACAACTATTTATGACAGTTGTTGACATTTTAAACAAATGTATGCTAAGGCAATTCAACGGGCCAATGTGCTTTGTATATATAAATATACATGTATATATCCGTTTAACTTGCCTAAAGGAGTGGTTAGTGACATTAATTTGTTAAGATGCTATTAATGATCCTGTATGTTGTAATTATGGTTGTTACCATTTTGTATGTATTTGCGTTTATTTATACTCGCCACCGGTTGCCCTTCAGAAGAGTACGTATTAGTCATTTTATTTTTTGGAGGATAGTGCAATTACAGATACAGAAAGATGCACCAATTACAGAAGCTTCTCCTGGTTCTTTAGCGTGCCAAGTGTTTAAGGAGCCATACACGGGACCTCGATTAAAAGTCTCATCCGAAAGACTGATTAGTAATTTTAGTTGGCAAGCCTGGGAATCGAACCCACAATGTCGAGATTACAAGTCTCGCGCTCTAACCGATTGAGATATGCGGGCTGGTTAAGGTTGTTACCACACCTAAAACAATTTTCAAAAATCGAAGAATATGTAAAATATGTACTTCAATTATTTGTGCACATTATATGTAAACATTAAAATATATACATTCATTTCTTATTGAAAAAATTGACTTAGACTTTATAGAAAATAAATTTCTAATTACCTCCCTTTATTTACATGACAATGTACATTCGGTAATATCTTTACAAATAATGATTTTTGGAACTTAAAATATTGATAAATCTTCATTTGAGCTTTCTATTTATGCTATAAAACCCTAAAAAAATGAGTTAGAGGAGCTTTAAGTTATTTTGTTGTTTTTAAAGTCATGTAAATACAATTAAATCCGCTTTACAGCTTCTGTTTCTATCTCATTCTATTCATTTCCGTAGACATTTACAAAATCCATCTGTTGCATTTTGTAAATTACATTACATGAACAGCATTGAGATAACGAGAACCCTAACTTTTTTATATGTTCACTTGTGTAGGTTCAGTTGTGATAAGATTAAAATGCTGTGTATTTTATACATAACTATTACAAAAATCTATGTATGCGTGCGTGCGTACGTACGTATATATGTAATTAGGGTCCATCCGGCCGTTAAGGCACAAAAAGCAGCTTTCGCTGTCGAGTACGAACCCCGAACAAGTGATCAATCATGCTCTTCAAGATAATTTACCTCCAAAAAAAAAAAATTGATAAAAACTACAGTCACCAACATTGTGACCAGCTTAGAAACGAAGTTGCAGGCACTTGTTTCTACCCTTGTTAAAGAAAGAACAAAATATCTAGATGATAAAATAGAAAGTCTTGAATTTGAAAACAACTCCCTGAAAGAAAAACTCTCTGATCTTGAAAATAAAACTGCAGAAAAATTACCAGATTTTGAAGAAAAAATTACCAAAAGTTACAACGCTAGCATGGAAGCAAACAAAAGATCAAACTATAATGAGCAGTTCTCGAGAAAGAACAATGTTAAAATACTGAATATTCCGGAAGAGACCAGGGAAACAGAAGAGAGCTTAAAGACCACTGTCACAAATCTCATACAGACCAAATCTGGCGTCACCCTTAAACCAGAGGATTTCATTGCTATGCACAGAATACCCACAAAGAAGGGTCTTATCAAACCAGTGCTTTTCAAACTCAGGAATAACACCCTGAAATCCACACTTATGCGAAAAAGAGGTGCAATGAAGGCTTCTGGACACCGCTTGGTAGACGATGTTACCAGGCTTAACCAAGGACTGATCAGTCGCTTATCAATGCATCCAGAGATTGAAAATGCATGGTATTTCAATGGGTCAGTTTATGGACAAACAAAATGCAGTGAGCGCATAATATTTGACATATATGACAATATAAATAACATGATCAGTGAATTCCGTGGGAGAAAAAGTAGTTAAAAACAGCATTTAGTGACAGAACAGTTGACTACAGCACTGTCTATAGACCATTAAAAAACAATGACTCCTTGTATTGTTTGTTTTTGTTTTATTTTAATATATATATATATATATATATGTATATATATATATATATTGTCACTGAAAGCCTTCTTTTCCTTTTGCATGTACATAGAAGTACTACAACTTTATCTTTAAATACCTGTGTATAAGATTGCTTTGTTTTAACAATCTAGGTTATAATACATCTTTTTGTACATGCTTTCTTTGTCAACTTATTAAAATGATAGAGGTACTTTGTAATTTAATTCTTATCTTTACACCATTTGCTTTGCTTTGAGAGAGTTAAAAGAAAATAAGTCATTATCTTATATAAAGATTTAGTATAATTGTCTAATATAAATTTATACAACTGACATATACATGTACTTCTTTTCTTGCCATGCTGAATTATATAATCAATATTAGTTAAATGCTTCAAAATGAAACAGGAAGGTTTTTTTACCTTGTTTGTATTTGTATTTATAGTATATTATCATATATTGAATAATATAAGTGTATAAACATAAATCTTCTTAGATATTCTAGTCGGGACCATCTGACTCCAGGTGAAAAGATTACACTTTAAACATGTATATAGACAAACAAACATCATAAATATTGACATTATAATTCCCTTTTAATTTATTATGGATTAATTCATGTAATCAGAAACTTATAAATGTTGTTTTATTTCCCATCCAATTCATTGTTATAACATATCTTTGTGTAGATATACTTAATTGTTTCTTAAAAGAATAAATGATACGGTTTAATTTATATGTATTTGGCAGGGTTTAATATAAGCATGTATTTAGTTTTTCTGCTGGTCAACTTCTATCCTTCGCCTTAATCGGGGAGGAGTTTTACTTTCAGTGGGATGGTTAGACTCAATGGGTAAAATGTGGTATTCAACATCCTGTGAAGTTGCCAGTAGGATTTCTGATACTGTTTTGTAAATTTAATATTATAGTCCAAATATTATATAGTTTAAACTGATTTATCATCCACTATGAATTAAAATGTATTTTATTGTACCTGACACATCAACATCTTATGATATGTGTGTGTAAATCATGACAATTTTATATGTTGACTTTTTGTTTTAATTTTATCTATACGTGGGTTTAATGAACTTTATTTAAATTTTGGGTACTATATGTCTTACCCTGCAAGTACATATGTTAAAATCAATCGTTTGTAAAAAAAATTAAAGCATTTTTTGATGAAATTAAGATAAATGCCTGAGGACACCATGTTCTTGGAAAAAAGAAAATTAATACATTGATTTCTGTGACAATGTTATAATACATTGCTACATATATTGGCATATTAAGCATGCAGTTATTTTTAAGTATATTATTAATATACCAAATTAATTTGTACTTAGCAGTAATGATTTCAATCCATATTGTATTTATTTTAAGTTTTGTTTATTTATATTTGATGGTATTTTTTTAGTTTATTTATTATAAATTTCACTGTGTTGTTTATTCTTGGCAACACACTGTTTACGCATACTTATTTCATTATCACACTTAAACTGTTTTTGATATCTGGATATTCTAAATGTTATAAAGTAGTTATGGAAAAATATCTCATATATGAACTTTTTTTTAATGTACATGATTTTTTAAAGAAAACTGTGATTGTTTTATTTGACAATGGGTGAAATAAAGATATTGTCTTATAACTGTAGAGGCCTTAATGATACGAAAAAGAGGTCAGATGTGTTTAACTTTTTAAAAGATCGCAAAGTAGATATATTTTGTTTTTACAAGATTTGCATTTTACAGAAAATATGAAGAAACATTTATACAATCAGTGGAATGCTGAATGCTTTTTTAGCTTTTATAAATCAAATGCTCGAGGAGTTGGTATTTTATTTAAACGAAATTTAGACCTTAAAGTTCATCAATCCTTTGTTGATGAAAATGGAAATTATATTGTTTTAGATTTATCTGTAAACTCAAAACAATTTACATTAATTAATGTCTACGGTCCAAATACAGACCAGCCAAAGTTTTATGAAAATATTTTTCGCTTAATAGATGATACAAATAATAATACATTTATTTGGTGTGGTGATTTTAATCTAGTACAAGATATAGAATTAGATTATGATAACTATAAATCGATAAATAATAACAAAAATTCTAGATCTGTATTGTTGAATTACATTGATCAAAAACGTCTCTTTGATCCATTTCGAGAATTAAATGGTAATTGCCATAAGTTTACATGGCGACGCACAAATCCAATTCAGCAAGCCAGATTGGATTTTTTCCTTATTACTGAAGATTTATTACCACATGTTAGAGGTTGTGATATAGATGTAAGCTATAGATCTGACCATTCTATTATAATTCTTAAAATTGATTTACAAAATATTATACATGGGAAAGGTTTATGGAAATTTAATAATTCTTTATTATGTGACCTAGAATATTTAAATTGTATTAATGATAAGATAGATAATGTAATATTGCAATATTTGTTGCCTGTATATAATATTGACTGTTTAAAAAATGTCAGTTATGAAGATTTACAATTTAGTATTGATGATCAACTTTTTTTAGAAACCCTGTTAATGGAAATAAGAGGCAAAACCATCTCTTTTTCTAGTTACAAAACCAAAAAAAGAAATTCTGAAGAAAACAGTCTCCTCTCCAAAATTCAAGACATAGAGACAAATATAGATGAAGAAAATAAGAAAACTTTATCTGATTTACATTCAAAACTGGAAAGTATAAGAACTGAGAAAATAAGGGGTCATATGATAAGATCAAGAGCACAATGGATAGATGAGGGGAAAAACCAAGTAAATTTTTTTGTAATTTAGAAAAATATAATTATGCTAGTAAAATAATTCCATACCTACAAAATATAGATGGGTCTTTTATCTATGACCAAAAATCAATATTAAATGAGACTGAAAAATTTTACAGAAATTTATATAGTAATGCTGATGTTATTGGGGGAAAAAATATTAATGATTTTCTTGACAATACAAATGATATATA